TTTGGTCAAGTATTGGTCCAATTTAAATAATGAGCAGTTTTTTCTTTCTTTTATCTTTTACCCCTTTCCTTCAAAAGTGGTAAGATAATTGAATCATGGTTAACATGGAGAATTTAAAATCCTGATTGATACTTTTTTAGAAAACACTTTGGCACATTCCATTGTGTCATGATAGAGGCCAACTCTTTCAGGCCATTCATCCATGAAAGAGCAAGAGAGTGGTTGGTTGGGTGTGTGTAAACAAGTGGCTCTTGTTGATCAAGTGGATGGCTGCATTTTCTTATGAGTTGGCAAAGCTCCAAGACTTTTTGGGATGAGCTCAATTGAACAATTCATTCCATTCATGGCAGACCTTTGCCATGTCAAAACTTGAAGACACTTCTTTGAAACACCTCTTTTCAAGAGTTGATTTATTTTTTTACATATTGATTATATGCATTTGTTTATAGAGAATGGGTTTCTATCAAGAGATATGAAGCAGCTTTGAGACTGGTAATAGAGTCTGTGTGTGTGTGTGTGTGCAGCACTGCCAATGAAGTGATGTATTTACTTGACCAAGTTCTTCCAATAATTCTTATAATCATATGATTGGATTGCTAAAGATTAAAATATGATGTATTGTAATCTCTCAAAGACATCTACAATAGCAATATGTATGGTAGCATGTCCACAATAAAAAGACTCTGATGGAGTGGAGCTTGATGCTTGTGATATCATAACAAAGTTTTTAATGCAAGCATCTTAGAACAACCTGTTGCAAATATTGTAAACCTTCACTAGTTTATGAATCTTAAAGGCTAAGGCATGTCAAAGCCCTTTATCCACAACTCCCACAACATCTTAGTCCTCTTTCTATTTATAAAATAGATCAAAGAAATTGTATTTTTCAATTAAATTAACACCTTATAACACTCAATACAACAATAATAACACTGTTGTTAAAATATGCGATTTGTTTATTTTTAATGTTTTAGTCTTAGTTTAAAGTGTTTATTTCTAAAATTGGATGTTTTAAGATAGTACAATCCTATAAAATATCTATAAAAGAAAGATTAAAAATATTATAGTTAAAATAAAATTAATGCTTGTGTTAGAATACAAATAATAATACTAAGGTTTTATATCAAAAAACCAACTATAGTTGATGATAACTAATAATATACTAAAGTTGTATTTATATATATTTTATTAACATTAGCTAATGTAAACAAGATGGTGGGAATATTTAATATTAGTATATTGTTAGTTATTAACATCAATAATGTAATAGAATTTTTTTAAAAAATAATTGTCAATTTTAATCAATTATAATTTTGATTTGTAGTCTAATGTAGAGCTTGCATGTACCTCCAATAAGTAGAGAAGCAAATAATTTAATAAATCTAGACATATAAAACATTGGTTTCAAATCTTTAATATTATTACGATTTTTTACCTTCCAAAAGTATATTTTTTATTTTGATTTTAAATACCAATGAATCAACCCATATATTTATATCATTTATGCCAAAAGTAAAACAATATCTTTGTGTAAATAAAAAAACAAGATTCTAGTTACAATTGATATTAGTAAAATCTATTTTTATCAAAATAAATATATCCAATATTTTTTTAATCTATTTTTTTAAAACAGTGAAATGGTGTTTTGTATCACAATTAAACCTCCATCACAGATTTTTTAAGATATTTGACTAAGGTTATATGTGTTACTTTACAACAGTGAAATAATGAGATCTTAAAATAGTATGTATATATTTAATTATATAAATTTAGTTACTATTTATGCTATAATTTTTATGTAATCAAAATTTTAAAGAAAATGAAGTAAGAACAATAGATATTTGTTCACTTGCCTTTTGTGCATTATCTCATATATATATAGATAGATAGATAGATAGATAGATAGCTAATGGTGATGCATATTATCAAGTTATATTATGATTATTTATGAAAATTTCCTCACTCAAAGTTCAAGAGATGTTTTTATGTAATTAACACATACAACAAAACAATCTATGAGGTTGAAACTCAAGCTGTATCCTAAACTGACATACCCATGATGAAAAATATGATAATCATGATGAATGTAGTTGGTTTTCATTGATATTGAATCCAATAGTGAAGAAATAAATCTAGATATCATTTCGTTTTTTTCATCATGGTTAGGATAGATGAATCAATTTAGTAAAAGCTTGAGTCTATTTAACATTCCTCTATGTATGTATGTATAACCCAACAAGAAATTCTAGCGCACACAAGACCTTCATTCTGGTAGATTCCCTACATTATTATGTAATGTTGTAACCCTAAATTTTTCCTTGTTCATTTCAGGTCATTCATCGTCCCCACTCCATCCTCTCAATTCTACGAGATGTCTCCACATCCAACCCGAATGGATGAGAAGGGTAAGGGTGGAGGGGGCAGAGGGGACGGGTGGATGGATGAAGGAAGAGTGGACGAATGTGTGGATGAGAAGCAGCGGGGCATCACTTTGTGTTGGCGGCGCCATCAGCACCCTTCCTTTGATGAGGCCTAGGCTGGGCTGGGCCGGGTCGGGGCCGAGATCCGACCCAGCCCAGCCCAGCATTGGCCCCGTGCTCCTCCTGCTCCTGCTGCCTTGTAGTATGGGTGTGGGTATGGGTATTGGTGTATTTGTATTTGCCGAACTTTTGCAAATGATGCCTTGGCGGAATGGGAGTGGAGGGTCCTTTGTCTGCTGCTCAGTTCCAGGCTGTCCAAATGGATGGACCAGGAGCCCTGCCTGGCTGCTCCCCCTCCCACCTCTCTCATTCTCTCTAGCCTGGTACCGCCGACCAATCGGATGAATGATACTCAGCGAACCTGAGCCCATCCATCTCTACGTCCATTTATTCATCCATCCATGTATCACCCCCCCCTTCCAATCGCCCTTGACCAATCAGACAACACACAGGGCATGGGACCACATCCATGTGAATTTATTACAGCAGCAAATCCAAGTGATCTCCACCAAGTATGTGCCCAATGGAAGGAAGGATTGTCCATCCCTCCCTCACCCACAACTCTTGCCAATGGGGGTATTAGCAGGCAGATTTCCACCAGCCCACCCACTTAGAAAAGAAGTTTTTAAGGGGTTTTTGTTTTTGTTTTTTTTTTTCCTTTCCTTGCCCTCCCCTGCAAGTTCCATGGATCATCACTGGCTACCACCAAATACCATATCTTAGATGCAAAGGGAGAGCTTCCTATTCTTCTTGTGCAGCTCCCCAGCAAAGAATAACAGTCCAAGCCACCATGTTTGACTGTGGGAGTAAGCAGGGCCTGGGAAGACAAAGGAAGGGATGTTGACCCCACTGCATTCATGCCCCTATTACTACTGTAAAACCAACCAGGAAGAGAAGGGAAGGGGAAGAGAGCCAGAGAGACAGAGAGCTGTGTCTGTCTGTGTGTAGAGCAATGAGCAATGAGCAATGCAGCAATGCTGCTGCATTATATCTTTCATAACAGGGATACTCCCCTGTTGCCACCACCATTCCTCACTGCCATCAGCACACAGACAATTCCAAAGATGCCCATCATTTGCCCTTCTCTCCAATGCCCACAGAATGATATCACCAAACCATAAGAAGGAAGGAAGGACTCTCTCTGTCCATGCTCTCTGCCTTGCTTTCTCATCACCCCCCCTTATGTACAAGATGCACACACCCCCCTTCCTCTCCCTTGTTTCCTCCCAATGGTCTTTGTTTTTGTGGGTTTTATTTCTTATTATTATTATTATTTTTTTTGTTTTTTTTTGTTTTTTTGTTTTTTTTTTGGAGGTGTGATTGTTGTGGCAGATGTGTGAAGATGAGTGCAGTGGGAAACATGTTCCTTTTTCAAATACAGTATGTGCATACACACATGTACATATATACATTACATCTGGGACATACTCTCTGGGTAGAAGGTGTTGCTTCCAACTGGTAGAGGTAAGACCATTCACACACTGCCACTTTAGCAAATCCCATACACTTCTTGGAACAACAGGACTTTCTAATTTGGATGTATGTTTTGCTACACTTGCTCATTTACTTGCATGTGTTGGTTTTCTTTTTCTTTTTCTAGAAGGGGTTTAAAAAAGATAAGGGAAAATAAGATGCTTGCACCAACCAACAAGGCTACTCAAATGAGTTGCCAGACTGGAGTACAAATGGGTTGTCTCTTTTTGTACTGTTGTGGGTGATTGTTGTGGACATCCTTTCCCCTTCCAGTATTCTACGTGCATGTTACAATCAATCAACAAAACAGTAGAAAATTCACTCCTCCCTCTCTCTCTCTTTCTCTCAGTGTAGTTGTGTTTCAAGCTCAGGTGTACTGGAACCTCAGGTTTAACTTTCTCTCACACACCTGGGTTGAACAATGCTCAGAAAACAAATTGAAACACACATAGTCTGCATAATATAACCATAATAATATAGATACATTATTGTGCAAGTGAAGTTTCACAGCACAAAATCACATGTAACTTGGCTTGGGTTGTAGCAAAATTAAATCCTCCTGCCCCAATGCCAGGCGTCGGGGAGGCAGTCGCAAAAGATCATTCATTAGAAGAGCAAAAAATTCTTCTATGGCAAGCACCCTGAACTAGAGAAACAAGCTGCAAGAGGAGGGGGGGGGGGGGGGAGGGAGTGATGGGAGGGAGTTGATATTTGTGTGTGGTTATGGTGGGGGACCAGGAGTGGGAATAGAAAGGCAGTCCGCAGAGTGGGGCGGCACCGAGACGAAAAGCCTGGGACACACTAACGGCGGCTGTCAGCCATCTCCTCACCTCTGGTCTATTATTACCCACCTCCTCTGTAGCAGTAGCTGTAGGTACCGCTCTATAATGAGGCCACTCTTACCGGCAACCGTCCGTCCCCGGTGGCTCTTCCCCCCCTGTCAAGTAACTCTCTCACCTTGTTTTACATGTTACCTTGTCTGTACTTGTTGCTGCTGCTGCTTCTGCTGCTGATGGTGGTGGAGCTTTTTGAGCTGTGGGGGTGGGTGTTTTTCTTTTCTTTGCGGTGGTGGTGTTGTTATTGGGATGCAGTGGTAGTGCAGTGCAGTGCGGAGTAGTGCGGAGCAGTGAGTCAGAGATAGTCAGCTCTCCTTCTCTTCCTTTCATCCTCCTCCTCCCTACTCCCTCTTGCTTTCTCCACAGGTCATGGTCTGTGCATCTTCTGCACTTCTCCAAGATTCCCTGCTCGCCTTCTGCTCACTCCTCGCTTCCCTACTCCTTCCTCATGCTTCATGCTTCTCCCTTTGACGCTGTTTGTGATGTGGAGCTCGACGTGGGGTTGTATTGTGCCTGCGAGTCAAGCCTGTGGAGCAAATTATGACTTCAGATTAGGGGGATTTCGATCGCGTGCGTGCTAGGGGTGTTGGCGAGGAAGAGGAAAGAGGAGAGTTTGGAGGTGTATGAGTTTGCGAGAGATTTGTTTTACGTGGCTTGTCGCATTTGGGGACGAGGATTTTGTTAGTTCGAGAGAGAGAGTGTGCAGAAAAATGATGAGCTTGTTGGAGCGTGGGACTGTTTTAGCGAGTGGAAGTATCTTTGTCGCGGTTTTTTAGATTCTGCAGGTGAATCTGAAATGCGGGGAGGAATGTGTTGATGAAGAGGTCTGATTGGTGCATATCATTGGCATGCAACGTTAATGAAGAAGGTCCCTCCCCCCGGTTACATTCCTGTTTTGTGCAATTGAGGGCGCGGGTATCTGGTAGGTAGCTCTGAGTTTATTTAGATTTGACCAGAGTGACATCGAGAGTAAGAGGGTGTGCGTGTGTGTGGCACGGGGCCGAGTTTTTGTAGTTGAAGATTGCTGCATCACGAACGAAAAAGTGCTACTTAGGTGAACTCTAGTCCCACCGAAGTAGTACAAGTTTACAGGGTTAGCAGCAATGAAATTGGTATGTTAGAGTGCTCTGGCAGTGGGCCGAACGTTGGCTTTTAACATTTTTCTCCCAGTTCTATTTGTCGACATGAGCTTGCACTTTGCCAATGCGTGGTAGTGTAATTGTCGAAGCAGTCTTGCAAGATTACTCACTTCCAGCTTTGGTCTGTGAGTTGATACCCACGTCCGTTTGCCGTAATTGATTGCTTTCTTTGTTGTGCGATCTGATCCTTCAGAGACTGAGGGCTCGGGTGAACGAGTGCACGCAGTTACGCAATCAGAATGAACGATGGCGGGGTTTGGGCACTGGTTCTGGTTGCCGGAAAAGATCCTGCCTGTTCAAGCACACCGTGACGAGGGCGTGAGGGGCTAATCTTCTCGGTCAGGAAATACGGCAGAGGGGATGGACGGTGCATGTTCCCCAAATTTCGATAAACTCAGTCGTTTTGAGCTTGAGGCGTGAGCTTTGACTTGAGCTACCGTTTGATAACCGGAAAATGTGGATTTGATCTTGAAATTTTCCTCAGGACGTCAATTGTTCTATTTGCTGGGGGAATGCGTGAGATAGATTTGAAAACATTGAGATCATGACTGGGCCAGTCATTGTTGCAAACGGTTAAGAGTATCAAGAGCAAGAGGAAACCGTGGACTGAGAAGGGAAGCAGAGAAAAAAAAGCAGTTGTGTTGGGACACGGCTTGGGTTGAGTTTAAGTGGAAAATGCTGGATACTGAAGAGGGCCCGCCGGCCGTTCACTACCGTTCCGGCGAGGATAGTGGGGAAGAGGGGCTTGCGGTTCTACCCAGACACACGAAGGTCCTGGTCACGGGCAATAATCGCACCAAGTCTGTCCTTGTGGGACTTCATGGAGTTGTTACCAAGGCCGTCGGTCTTGGAGGGTGGCACTGGCTGGTATATCCAGTTCTTTAGAACCAATCTTTCAGTAGAGCTCTGTTAATGTGTGAACCCAACTTACTGCTCTTTTTCTACGAGTAGGGACGCAGATTTTACTCTATTGGAGTCATGTGTTAGCTCATCGGAAAGTATTGGATTTCAGAATCAAATCAGCTTCAGCACTTGTATCAACCTGTGTTTGGAAGTGTCTGGTAGAAGATAGCAAAGTTTTTAGATATTTCTGGCCCCTGTTAGTTTAAGATTAGCCTTCTTCTTCTTCTTCTTCTTCTTCTTCTTATGAATTAGACTACGTCTTCGGGAGATTAGTGTCTATCAGTTTTGTTTCCTGACGAGGAAACGTGTTGGTTTCAGGTTCTCACAAATGGCGACGAAGTCAAGCTTCAGCGGAATGCCTTGAGTGTAATCGAAGCTCCTTCTGGTCACGAAGAGCATGACGAAAATGAAGACAATCCGTTTTCTAGTGGGACAAGTCTAGGTTTGCATTTTTGGAGATTTCTTCCCACCCAACGTGGTCTTATCGCATTGGGTTGATACGTACCATCGGACATTGCCTTGACTAGACTGTGAATTTATGGGACAGCCAATGACCAGTTGAAGGCTTATCCTTTCTGGTAGCACGTTAGTGTTGCTGGTCAATTGTTAAGTCTCGGTTCGGAAGAGGTTCTTAGCATTGTTATTATTAATATTATTGTAGTAGCAGTAGAATTACTACTAGCAGGCATTCTTGCTAAAAAACAAAGAGCTGTGGCGGATGGGGTTTGTGTTGTATAGTTGAATTATGATCTGAATGTAGTACTATTTTTATTATTTTTTGGGTACAGAAGATAATGTTCCCCGAAATGCATTCAAGCCAAGAGTTCAGCTGCGAAAGCCGTCTATGACAATTGCACGTCGTCCAAGTGCAGCAGATGAGGATGTTCTAGCAGCCGAACACGCAAATTTCAACCGGATGTTTGAGAAGAGAGACGAGGTGGATGAGGGAACAAGTCCAACTTCCAATGCTTTACCGGTATGGAATGCCCATATTGTATTTCTTCCCTACTTCAGCTTACATGTTGGACACTCATCTTGATCACACCAATTTGGTCGAGCTCAGAGTGTCAATGGCTTAGCTTGGCTACTCTGAAATGGTTTGCTTTAGCAATGCGGACTACGCTGAGACATTACTGTCGATTTTTGCCGGTTACAGTTGGTGGACTTGAGTAAGCTGGAAACCGCTGCACTGAAGAGATACCGAAGGCACTTTAAACTGGTAATCCTTGCCGCTTTGTTTGAAATTCAATCAAATTGGAAGGAGCAAAATGTACTGTCACGGTTGATCCTTGGGGGAAAGGAAAACTGCAGACAAGTGTAACGTTAGGATTGTTGCGACCATCCAAATTTTGTTTCATGTGAAAGGGGTTCAGCTGTGCTGATTCTGAGCTCCATCTTGGTGTACGTAGGTCAATATGAATAGTATAATGCATAGGACAATGTGTTGTGCTGATTCCTGCCTCTGATCTTATAGGTGGAAGTTGGTCCAAACTCAACCAAGGAGCAGCTTCTGCATGCTGTCGGTCGACATTTCATGTCACAAGTGAGGATTATTACTACATATTTACGTACTTTTCTGCGGAATCCATCATCAGAATTGAATTCTTCTCTTTTCAAATTCTTTTAAGAGTATCTCTCGCTGACGAGATGAAAACTGTCCTTTAATGGTTTGTATACTTCGTTTGACCAAAAGGCCTCTGAAGTTTTAGCAAACGCATTGACCTAGAGTATTTGATAACTGCTGTATTAGACGGTGATGTCAAGAGATTTTAGTGGGTGTAATTTCTAAAAGTCCCATCACAATTATGTGTAAGATGCCCATACTCAATTAGTCTCTCAGCTGAATTTCCAAAGTGCTCTTAATTTCCTAAAAAGAATATTGCGGAAACACTCGCTGACTTAGAACATAGTAAAATAAAAATTGCTTCTATTTTGCTAGATTTTGTCTTGTCAGCGTGAGTTCCACGCTGGCTTGATAACTTGGCAGCTTGGGTCATTTCGGGAGTACAATTTCTCTGCTGACCTATAAAGAAATTCATTAACATGTATGGCCTGAAAAGTGTGCTAAGGATGTGCTTTATTGTTACGCTGTGCAGGAACTGGACGAGGCACAGGTCATTGCCGCGTTCATGCAGGCTGCAAAGCGTCCAAGGGCATAACCCGACAGCTCTCATACAATTTAAGCTCATTTCTACGATCTCCACATGCTTGGAAATCGGGTTTCTGGTGGCAGGGATGAGGAGCATACGATATAGTTGAGTGGAACAACCAACCTCTGTCGTTGGATGGTCAGTAGAGTCAACCCTACGTCTCCTCCGGATTCTATTGTAACATAGACAAGACTCGTATCTGTGAAACTCTTCCCTGGGTTTTTACACAGAAAAGGGGTCCTACTGTAGCCATTGTCATTGGATGAACCTTTTTGGTTACGTCATTAGTTCCACCATTTGTACAGAAGAAGCTCGGATGAGCAGAGGGGGTGGTAGTGTGGTATGTCTAACTAATTTCTTAGTTACCTTTCAATTGCAGTGTACAGAGGATCATTTGATGCACTTGTAGCAGTCTGCTCCGCATCAACTGTTTTATTCAAGGAATAGCAAACGCCCCGTACAGATCAAGCAAAGAATTCTGAAGGCTACCCTTGTTCTTTTATGGGATCTCACCACCTTGATGCCCAAGGTTGTATATTCTTACTAATTAAAGGAAGACTTCCCTTCTGTACACACCCACGTTTTCTCACCGAACAACTCATTTAGTTTCTGTTGTACTGATCAAGCCGTATTTCTCAATGTTTCGGTGATTTTCTGAAACAATTTGTACAGACGTGGCTGGTATCTCACTTTTCAGTTTGAATACCTGGTGAGTGTATTAACTATAAGGGTTGGTCGTACTGATCTCAGATGTTTTTGTTAGTCTACTTTAAAAACGTGTGTGAATCTTGTTCGAAACTTGCAGCATATTTTGACTGGGTCGATCCTTAGGTTTGCCGCAGCGTATAATCCTGTTAACACGATTGTAAGCTGGAAATGATTCTTTTGTTACTGTAAAAAAAAGGTGTTAGCAAACTGACACAATGTTAAAGAATTGTTATAACCTAAGAACTAGGGGGACCCTAGTAAGTGAGAGTGAGCGAGTGAGAGAGAGAGAGAGAGTAGGTCAGTCATCACATAGCCTCACTGTATGGGTTCCCAGCTTGGGGTCTGACGCAATCAATTTTCCCCATGTGACTTTTCATTTTCTTCATATTTCTATGCTGCTATGTTTCTGAACAAAGACAAACGATGGAGCCATAGACCGTCCCTTTTCAGAGGTCAAAGTCTACTGGAAATGACTCAACCCCATGAAATTCTTTGAATTTTTTTATTCACTGTAATTTCCAAATTCATGTTTTATTACAAATACATATTTTATTACAGACTTATTATGTTCCCCAAACCAATAGATATGAAGTGGTCAAAGCAATTGTTGTCCTTAAAAGCCTGTCACTGTTGTTTTAGAGGTGTAGAACGATGAAGCATACTAGGGGGTCTATTATTGTTATTATTTGAAGTTAAAACTTAAAATAAGTATAAATTTCAAAATTATTTTTTTTTCAAAAAAATGGGGTGGTTCAAATTTTATTTTATTTTAAAAGTTTTAAAAATATCACTAGTTCAATAAAAAATAGTAATTATTGTATCATTTTTTATTTTTTATCTATTTTTTATTTTTTATGTTCATGTCTCAAATACAAGTATTATATAAACATATCCATTTTATCTTTATTCATGTAATTAAGTTGTTCTATCAATCATTACTTATAATTTAATTTATATAATTATAATTAATATAAAATTTTGGGATTCCAATAATACATTCAATTGTGAGTTGGCATATATAGGGAAGAAGGGCCCCAAATAAGCATGTAACAAGGTAATGTCATTAAAAGCTTATGTTGCGGCGCTAAATAGCAGATTTGCGCATGTGCTAATGTCAACTATTACATCAAAAGAAAAATGGCATGCAAAACTTGCGTGTAAGAAAGACAAAGTAGAATTAGAATTTGTTACAATGTCAAGGACATGAATCTCAATAATAAAAATGTCTAAACACTCTTATGTCACTCAAGAAGAGTAGATATTCATTGAAAAGCAGTATAATATTAAAACTAGAATAACTATTGTTAAAGAGAAGAAGAGTAGAGACTCTTGAAATTAAATTAAGAATAAAAAAGCCATTGACAATAAAGAATAAGGCTTCATTCTTATTTCCATATATACTATCTAACTAGGAGCTATGTGGCAATGTTCTATAGGATCTTCAACATGTGTCGAACTTGCAAGATACATTGTTGTATTATGTAAAGTCATGCTTGAGAATACACAAGGCACTTGGCTATAAAAAATAAAAAATTGCAACAATAAAATCTAACAATTCTAATAGAATCATATATAAATTGCAATTAATGCTTAACAAACATAATCAAATATTGATAAAATCCAATTAAATTTTCAAATAAATTTTAAAAGAAACTCAAAGAAATATTAAATAAATCCTAATTGAATTCTACTCAAATCCTAAATAAATTCTAGAAAAATTTTAATCAAATTTTAGGTGAATCCTAATGGAATCCTAATTAAATTTTAATCAAATATTAATCAAATTGTAGATAAATCCTAGTCAAATCTTAATCAAATCCTAATCAAATCCTAAACAAATCATAATCAAATCCTAAACAAATCCTAATCAAATCCTAATCAAATCCTAAACAAATCCTAATCAAATTTTAATCAAATTTTAAAAGAATCCTAACTAATCATAATCAAACCTTAATCAAATCCTAAATCCTAACCAAATCCTACATCCTAAATCAATCCTAATCAAATCTTAGTCAAATCTTAAATCCTAATCAAATCCTAGATCCTAAACCACCCCTAATCAATCTTTAATCAAATCTTAAATCTTAAACAAAACTCTTAACAATCTTATAGCAGAGTAAAAATTCAATAACTAATAATTAAAATCATTAATTTTGACTCAAACTTTGCATACTTTGAGATAACTAAGTTAGAAACAAGTTCAAATTTTGAAGAAGATTGCATGTACCAAGTAGAAGATAAATCCTAAAATATGCTTAGATATTGGTTGGCCTCCTTCTCCAATCTTGATGCTGATCTCTTCAAGCCAAAATCTCTTAATTTTATTATTAAATACCTCTCAAAATTCACATACATGTTGGAAATTAAGTTTACTACCTATATACAAAAATTTCACTTCAATCCAACAAGTAGATTATTAAAAAACTTAGAAATCCTTACTAATCTTCAAAATTCCATTTTTGAGATCTCAACCCATTTGAACTTCAATAACTTTCAATCTATTTGTTTGATCATGGTCAAATTTATAGCATGCAATAAAAACATCTATAATTATAAATTCACAAATTTTCACTCATAGATCTATTGTCAAACTCACCAAATTCTCCCAAATATAAATTCTTTATTAATTTCATAAAATCAAATTCACCAAAAACAACCCTCACTTTGCAAAGTTCTTAGAAAGTTATTATAAAATTCAAATTGCATAAAGCCCATGCTCAAAAACCTTTTAGAGTCTTTTCTCAAATTCCACTCTTTGATTTGCAAAAAAACCTCAAAGTTATTGCAAGTGCACGGTTTTGTGTCTCAAGGTTTGATTACAACTCTGGTTGGAAATTGGTCCTTTTCAAGTATCAGTTCTTATTTTTTTGGAGTATTTTTTTATTAAAATCAACTCCTAACTTCCTTGTATATATGCCTATATCCTTTATTTTTCTAATCTACCTTGTTCTGCCTTATTTATGGTCCTACAAAGTAAGTAGAAGCCTATTTTGTAAAAAAGTATTGTTAATATTTTTAATTTTATTATCCTTTTACTATTATTTATATTTTAAAGATAATTTGATACAATATTTTGAAATAAGATCTTCTATAACATGATATTTTTTTCACTCTTTTACTTATTAGCTATGTTATACCATGACAAGGTGTTGAATTTACAAGATAAGTTTTACTTATGTATTACATAGCAAACTTCTACAACAAGTAGCTAATATTTTGGCCAAGTTTTTAACCTATTAATCTCCTACAAATACATGTAAAATCAAACAATATCTATAAAGCTTCTTTATAATATATTATCAAATCTATTTACTTCTATTTACTTCTATTTAACTCCTTATTCTATGTAAATATGTATATTTGTAACATTATTCCTTCCTTTAGAGACAAGTTCCACAAGGAGCTGTAATCATATATTGAAGAAATCCATGATGCAACAAATTGTATTTTCTACATACTTTGATCTTTATTCCATTTATAAGTGTAATAAGGTATTGATAAGATATTTGTATTATTGACACATAGAGATAGATAGTTAGAACCATGGAAGTTTTTAGAATTGAGGTTAGGTTAGTAGACTAGGTAGGATCCATCATGGAACATTCTAAAAAGAATTTAAGATGATTATTTACATAGGACCTACCATGGAACCTTCTAAAAAAGACTTGAGATGGTTATCTAAATGGGGTCCATCATGAAACCTTCTAGAAGGAATTTAAGGCGGTTATTTAAATAGGTCCCACCATAAAACCTTCTAGAAGGAATTTAAGGCGGTTATCTAAGTGGGGTCTATCATCTAGGAACATTCCAGAAAGTCTAGGATGGTAGAATAAAGTATAAATAGGATTAACCAGGGCCTTCTGGGGTATCTAGTCAGGTATGGTTTTGGACCATTTTTCTTTCTATAATTGAATTTTTTATCTTCTTGTTTTATTTTGTTCTATTCTAATTCTAGTTACTCAGTTTTATCTTTTGTATCTCATTTTATTTTGTTCAGGTCTATGTTATTCTACTTTGCGATGAGGTTTTATATTATTGTAGATTAAAAGAGTCTTGAATATTTAAAATAGACTGGTCCCATTTCATTGATATCAGAGCGACTATTAGACTATTTTTTGGATAGTGTATTGATAGTCATCATCTAATCCATGGTCATTTGTTATGGTCACATTGGATACTATGTTGAGGCTACCAGAAGCTAGTCTTAAAAAATGAACTGGGAGGTGAGAAGATATTATAATAGTGGAATTGAACGGAGAAAATACAACATGGAAGATATGGTGGAGCAATCCTAGATAGAGGCTCAAATACACCACCTCTTAAGCAAGATAGCTACTTTGCAAGGGGATATAGAAGCTTTGAAGACAAGGGAGTTGACATTTGTTAGGCTGAAATTGAATAAGCTTAGTGTATACTCTAGGACTTCAAGACAAGAAGATATATGTCAATGACCCTTCAACGTGCAAAAATACTTCCAATTATATGAAGTAAATATCACTAGAGGAATTATGTATGTAGCCAGCTATTTAAGAGATGCAGCAATCATTTGGTGGCGACATTGAGTTGAAATTTATTGAACTTAAGGTAGATTTTGTGATTAGGAGGAGTTTAAGACCGAGTTTAAGAATCAATTTTGGTCCATCAATGTAGAGAATATAACACAGGATTAATTGATAAAACTTACACAATCTAGGTCGGTGCAAGATTGTGTCTCTTAATTCAAGTTCTTATGTCTCCAAATTAGTAATATTTTAGAGGTAGAGATGATGGATTAATTCTTACAAGGTTTTAAACCTATGGTCAAACAAGAGGTGGAACTAAAGGATCTACACACATTTGAAGAGACAATTCAGATTGTAGAGAAGGT